GGAGGAGGAGGGCGGGTGGAGGGGACGGAGAGGAGGCGGAGGGCGGCCCTTACACGCCCGCGACGCCAAACAAGGGCCAGGGGGCGGTGTAGGGCAGCGTTTGTTTATTACTCCGGAACATCTCTGCCAACGAGGGTGATATCTGCCTTTGGTCCGGCTAATGGGCGCGGGCGGCAACGGGCGTCCGCGGCGGGCGAGGAAGGAGACACGGTCGTGGGCGCTGCGCCGTCGGCGGGTGGCGTGGGCGGGCGGCGAGGGGTCCCCTGGGTGGGCGAGGAAGGAGCATCTCACAGGTAGGGTGGGCGGAAGGGTCGTCCCGTGGGTGGGCAAGAAGGGCGGGGGCGGGGGGGCGTCCCTCAGGTATAGGGGTGAGGAGAGCTTAGCGAATGGGCGGGGCGGTCACGCGAGGCGCCCCTCGAGACAAATTAGCAAATTCAGAGCGAAGGTTTTTGCGTTTTTCTTCCTTTTTGAGCGTCTGGGCGGCCGTCCCTTGTCGGTGTCCATTGCGCGGAGGAGGAGGCGGCGGGAGAGGGAGCCCCGACGCCCTCCGCGCAAGGAGAGGGTGTTGAGGCCACGCCCGGAAGGGGAGGCTGCGGGAGGGGGGAAGGGGAGGGGGGGGCGGAGACTGTGGGAGGGAAGGGAAGGGGTGAATGGAGGCTGTGGGGGGGTAGGGGAGGGGTGAAGGGAGGCTGTAGGCAGGGGGGGGTGAGGAGGCTGGATGGGGATGGGTAGTGGGTGGAAGGGAGAGGGAGGGGTTAAGGGAGGCTGTGGGGGTAGTGGGTGGAAGGGGAGGGTGAGGGGTGAACGGTGGCGCGAGGGAGAGGAATGAGGGAATGAGGAGTTTAGGAGGGGATGTGGGAAGCGCTAGCGAGAAGAGGGGTGTTAGGAAGGAAGGGGAGGGGAAGGGAGGGAAGGCGGGAGGAAGGAGGAAAAGGGGGGATAGGGCGGGAAGGTAAAGGAGTGCAGGAATGGGGGAGTAGGGAGTTTTTAGAGGAATGAGGGAAGAGAGGGAGGAGGCAAGCGAACAGAGGATAGGGAGGGAGCTTGGAATAAGTGAGGGAGGGAAGTGAGGAGTTGGGGAGGGGGGAGAAGGCTGTGAAGGATAGGGGGAGGGAGGGAAGTGAGGAGTTGGGGGAGAGAAGGCTGTGGAGGGGAGGGGAGGGGGAGAGAAGGAGAGGGGGGGGGAGGGGGCACTGCGGCTACAAGCTGCGCATACGAATTTTCAAGTTGGCGAGATCTCTTTGCCTAATAAGAGCTTACGCGCCGCCGACGACCAGCTGGGACGACTTGACGAGGTCCTGTGAATGCCAGGGAGGGGATCGATTGGCTCTTGGCGGCGGTCTTTTGTCCACCAGGATAATAGGATATTTAGTCAGTCATTGTGGCTAGGATATGGCGGAGAGGAGGGGGGGAGGGAGGGGGAGGGAAGGGGGGGGAGGGGTGTTGCATAAAATAGCGGGTTTTGTCTTTTTTTTTTTTTTTTTTTTTTTTTTTTTTTTATTCATGGAGAAGGCTTTGGTGATGTTTATTCGAATGATTTTTTATCGAATGATTTTTTAAGGACGGGAAGCGAGTCTCAATGACGGAATCGAAACGCGGAAAAGGAGAGGAATTAGAACGAAAAAAAAAAGGATGAATAGGAAAGAGGTAGAAGTGATAAATATAGAATATAAACATTAATTGGCATTTCCGTGTATGAATATGTATGATAATGAATTATATCGAGTTTATAACGACACTTTTTTTTTTTTTTTTTTTTTTTTTTTAATTCCGTGTGTGAATTATGTCTTTATAACAACACTTTAATTTTTTTTTTTTTATCTCTGTGTATATATATGAATAATAATGAATTATATCGTCTTTTAATAATAACAATTTCATTTTTTTCTTCCTCAGGTAAGATTCACGAAAACACCTGGAAAGATATTCTACTCGGTATGTAAGAACAATGAACAATCTCAGCCTGTTATTTACGTGTATAATTTC